ACCCGCTCAACAGCAGGCTCTACGCGCTTTACACTATATTATTACCCCAGCAGACCATAGAACACTCCGAAACATTCTCAGCTTCCCGTGAAGCTTAAGCGCTCTAACACTTACAAACTGACAAGATCTTTCGCTGTCTATAGCCGGGTACCCATTCCCACCTGGGTGAAGTGAGGAAAATTCATGTAAAGTGCCTTTCACAGGGACACAACGTCAGGCCCCTGACGGGATTCGAACCCACGACCTTACGGTTGCGAGTCCGAGAGCCTAACCACTAGGCCACCGACGCCACTTATCCTCAAATAGAATATACCTCTTTAATGTGGTAATCAATGTCACCCAAACTTTGCACAGCAGATTGTATCAATTTGTCTTAACTTAATCATATCCCCCCCTAATTGAGGCTCGATTAAAAGAACTTTTCTTCATGAATTTGTATGAAATACTTTCAATCTCCATCTCGCAGACAATGGGATTGTTCACATCACGTTCCGCTTCTCACACACATTTTGCATGCATATGGCCTACGTCACAGCTCGCCAATGACATTTTTTAATGGCAAAATTTCTAACAAAAAATATTTATTTGCACTAAAGGTTCCCTAAACATACGTTCAATAAGCATACTATTGCGATTAGGAACAACAAATACAGACTTGCTTTTAAAAGCTATATTATTGTCCGAGCTGTAAACTTAAAAAAATCTGCAGAAACCATCCACTTGTATTTTTTATTAGTATTTATTAAGGAATTTTCTAGAATACAGCTAACAGGTGTTTACAAAAATGTTGATCTGTTAAAGCAAATTGATACAAGTCACTGTATAGATGGAGAATCTATGTTTGATAGTTGAGGAGATATTTGACAATAAGTTGCGCCCCGAATTTTTAACCGCACTATAGGGTTATACCATAGGGGTTTGGCGAATGGATATGGATCATTGATTGGACGAAGATGGATTACAAGGTTACAGTGTCCGGTATAGTTTTCTTTTTTAGTTGACTAAAACTCCCCAAAAGTTCAATCTCACAATGAAGCAAATGCTATGACATCACCTCTCTGCGTGCGGGTCTATAACATTCCCAGCAACCTGACTTTTGGAAGTTTTACGTTTTCCAGCAATTATCTCTCTCTCTCTCTCTCTCTCTCTCTCTCTCTCTCTCTCTCTCTCCCTCTCCCTCTTCCTCTCTCCCTCTCTCTCCCTCTCT